GGTTCAGGGTTTAGGGCTTAAGACCCTATCGGGGCCTTGTGGGTTCGGACCTGCGGCTTCGGACTCTTTTTTGCTTGGCAGCGGGCACTCCATCCCTCGGCCCAAGTCAAGTGGTCCACAAGTTGCTTAGCATCAGTTAAAAGGCCCAGCCCAAACTTGGGCTCGGTTGAGGACGGAAGGATCGTGGGCCTGTTTGCAGCACCCCGAGCTGTTCTGCTTTCTTTCCTTGTCAGAAATGGCCAACTGAAAAGTTGCTGGCTTTAATTGCGCCAGTGAGGTTTCCAGCCTCAGAAAGCTCCGACAAAACCGGAATGTCTGGGTTTCCAATGCTTCCGAGACGAGTCTAAACCCTAAACCCTAAACCTGATGCTCCGGAAACTCAGGGGCCCCAGCCTTGTAACTTAAAACATCAAACCCTTGGGGAGCCCTAGCCTTTCAGAAACCAACAACTTAAGCCCTCAAACCCTAAGCCCGAAACCCTNNAAACCCTAAACCCCGAAACCCAACACTCTCACATTCCACAGCCTCAAACCTTAATCCGTAGAGCGGAGAGGATCCGGGAGTTCTTCTCTACTACCTCAGCATGGAGGTGCATGCAAAGGACCGCTGAGCTTTGTGGGCTTTGCGGTACCAGTTTCCGCGTAGATCTATGTAAACTGCCATAGCCGCATAGCCTACCTTTTGGAAGGGCCTTTATAATTCATAGACAAGAGGCCAAACTAATGCCTATCGTCTGTAGGGCCAACAAGACGCTTAGAAATCTTGCATGCCACGCAGACACGCTGCCTGAGCCGGAAATCTGTCACTAGCCCCGTAGCATCCGAGGCCTCATGAGAGACTCAAACCCGAAACCCTAGGCCAGAGGCGGCTTCAGTGCGCCATTTTGGGGCTTAGGTCTATAGGTCAATAAGTCGTAGGATCCATGCAGCCATGGTACCAGTAGTATAGACTAAAACTGCGGGACAAGGATCATGTCACCCACACGGCGAAACCGACCATGTTCTGCGATACGGCATTTTTATGTTTAACCCCGAACTAGTATCATTGAGTGCCCTGATCCTCCAAGCAAAACTAGTAGGTGCACTGCCAGTTGATGGCGCCCCCTCATTCGTCTCGAGTTTTTGACTGAGCGAGGAAGTCGAAACCCAAAAGGCCAGAAACCAACACCCACAATCTAAGCCTAGACCCACGAAGTCTTAATCCTAAAACCGGAACCCCAACCCCCCAAAGCTCCAGACCCTTAACCCTGATGCCCCAAGTCTTCCATGACACCCAAGAACCTCGATTCAAATTCGCTGAAGCCCACAGTCGAGACTATGACAAGCAGCGCAGATGACGATATGGACTGTTCTGGGACTATAGACCCAAAAACTTGGCCGAATGCCCAGCAGGACCATCCGGACAATCCGATGCCCTATGCTCGTGCCAGTGCAGCAGAGTTAGATGAACTGGGGTTTAAGACCTTTCGAACAAAGCCATGGTGTCAATCCGACCCCCGAGCTTTATTTACAGTCCGAAGAACGGCACGTCCACCCTGAAAGGCGGCTTGAGGCAGGTTTGGGTTTAGGGTTTAGGGCAGGGTCTGAGCCGAGCTCCCAAATCGTGATCCCCTCGCATGACCCTGGCCCAAGGCCCTGAGCTCAAAACCGGCAGGCTTTATAGATCCAAAGCCCGGATCAAGAGTTAAATGGCAGTTTCCGAAAACAAGGG